CTGCACTTTCGCACGTGTAAATTCTGAGAAACATATTTTTTTTCCGTACAGCGCAAAACAGCAGATAATTTAATTAATAAATAAATAAATTAATTAAAACTGAAAAATAATTAAAAAAAAAGAAAAAAAAAATAGTAAGACCAATCATTTTCGTGTCTGCCGAACGAAACAAAAAAAAGGGGAGGGAAAAATAATAGAGAATACGTTCGAAGACTTCGAAGCAGAGAATATATATATATATATATATATATATATATATGTACGTTGAAAAATACAATCGCCAAAAACAACTGTCACCAACGTTTTCTGCTCCCCGATTTCGTTGATCCAGAAGGAAAAAGAAATAATAATGGAACAAGCGTTCTAGATCTGAATAGACATTCACATTCTCTTCGCAGGAGATTCAACGCGACAACGCCCACGATTAATCTCGATTCTCGTAAGTCATTTCTATTTTTGACTAGCGTCCTAGCTCTGTTTATTGTAATGGTTAAGGTTGTTTCCGCGTTTGTTTTGTTTGATTCCCGAGAAAATGAAGGAAAGGACGGGAAAATAGAGGTTTCCGTTTTTGTGGTATAGGAATCACTGTTTGAATAATCGTATTTGGTTTTGGCGTCGCTCGGCTCAAGTTTGTTTTCTTACTTTTTTCGGAAATCGAAGCAACATAAGAATATACAGGGATTTTAATTTTGAATTTTAAAAATCGAAAGTGTTCGTTAGCAGAGAGCAAAAAAGTTACTGAATATTTGAAACGGGCTATGATTTTGTTTTCTTTTTTAGTTTTTTTAGGTACTTCGCGAATTGTTTTTGGTTCCTAATGAGATGGTACATATTTTTCTGTTCGATATTTCAGGTATTGAGGAGAATGTGGATAGAGTTATAGATCTTAAAGCTGTGAATGCAGCTTCAAATTTATAAGAACTGACTTAATCAGGTTTTGCGCTTGTACATTTTCCCTTTTTTGGATCAACAATGGTGTTTTGGGAAGATTACATGAGCGATGAAGCAATGGGCACGTTCGCTCCAATTGTAGTTTATTGGTTGTACGCTGGAATTTATCAGCTTTTGCCGCCTTTGGACAATTACCGGCTGCATACTAGAAAGGAGGAGGAAGAGAAGAATTTGGTGCCTCTCTCGTCTGTGGTTAAAGGAGTTTTGCTTCAACAACTTGTTCAAGCTACCGTTGCTCAATTGCTCTTCTTGGTTAGTTGTTAGTATATGACATATTTATTTTGTTTCATTTATTGTAAATACAATATATATATGAGTTTTCATTTTCAAGATGGAAATACTAGTAGTCTTTTCTTCCATGATAGAGAATGTAGTTTGCTTAAGGATTGCAAGTGCAAATTACGAGTTCAGAGAGGAAGAAATACTATCCCTGATGAAGAGAAAAAGGGGTACTCTATTGAACTTAATTTTCACGGTGCATTTGTAGAGTTACTTGTTCAGAACTACCGAACGATCCTTTGTTGGAATTAGTGATCTATTATGGAGTTATAAATTCTTGAACTAAATTGCTGGAAATTAAGAAAAATAAGGAAGATTTTGACTGGCTTTGCTTGAGTTTTAACTATAACTTGGGTTCATGCATGGGATAAACTCTCCATGGATAGAAAAAAAAATCTCCTTGGAGTTAGTTATTTCCCAACTTTCCTAGTGGCAGAAATCCTTGTTCTGGAAGTTGAAGCATATTTCATCAAGAATGACATGATATTCTTATAGTATTTTCATGAGTAGCTTACTTAGATATGAAGGCATTGTAGACCGAAATGCTCATATGTTTTTAAGACCATAGAAAAGGTGAAGTAAACTCAATCATAAAAGAAAAATGCCCCTGCTTATTTACATTTTAAAATCATAATCCCACTTGATTTAGAGTTAATTCTGGTTGTGTGGTTTTTATTCATGCTCCATGTGGTTGGCGGATGGGGGTGGCCTAC